CAACAATAGTAACGACAACAATAATAATAACAACAACAATAATAACAACAAAACAGCAACAACGATAATAATAACAACAATAATAGTGACAGTAACAACTATCTGAAGGAAGTTAATGAATGGCACTCCAATTAGAAAGAGAAACATAGAGCGATGAGAAAATCACGAAAATAATAATGGTGAAAGAGTAATAGTGGGACACCGCTGCACCGATACTAATCTCTGATCGACAACTTACTGCACTTCGGAAAAGTTGTAAACAAATACTCATCATCCACTAGGGCCTGTAACTTTCAAATGCGCTTCCTTACTCTGGCTGTCATCCAAAATGACGTCAATACCTGTAGTCGAAAGATGGGACACTATTATCGTTGCCATAACCATAACAACCAATTTTTTATTTTATTTAAAAATTACTCTTGAATTATTCAAATCAGATAAATTATGCTTAACAATATTATAGCATAACAATTATCTCTCTAACCAAAGAGGTCAGATATCCCATATGTTTATAATCATTATGATAAGCTGTGACTTTCTAAAATTAACAATCAATATAAGCATTTTAGATCAACTTCATAGAATATGAGGGGAAAAAATGATTTTTCATCAAAAAAGAATTAATGTAGTATGTTGGATTACCCGAGAGCAACCCAGAAAAGTAGCTCGGGAAATATTTTACAAAATGAGAAAAAGACAACTTTGTCCTTTAACTTTTTATTTGTAACTCTACAATTGGTCACATCTGAGTTCTTGCCGATTGTTTATTTATAAACACACCTCTTGCAGTGGCTGCACTATTGAGGGAAATAACATTTTTTTTTTGTGGTACCCTTGGCCTTAATTTTCCTATGAATCCTAAAATGTAATGATATGAGTAAATTTCAACATGCAATAATGTTTCAACGAAAGCTTTAGATCTCAAAACCAGTGTTTTCAAGTTAAACGAGAGAATGATAATTCATTCTGTTATCTTTTGGAAATAAGATATAAACAAAAAGAAGCTTCGAGCGACCCTTCAACCATAAAAATGTTTTAGAAACGTCTTCTACAATGAAGGCTTCATTTTCGTTTTACAATAGTTTTTATTTCATCCCTGAGAGTTCAGATCGCCAAGTTTAGATTAACTACCGACAAAAACAAGACTGTTCTTGAATTCATTGTTATAGATGATGAAAGAGGTCTGGGTTCGTTTAAAAACAAAACTTGACAAATTCATTGTAGTAATCTCTAGATTTTCGAATTAATCGAAGGTCGACACCTCCCATTTTCTTGTCACCTGTCCACTCTTCCCTTCAACATCTCTTAGAATGCGAATTCCACCAATGATAAAAAATTCGAGTAAATCCTATTAATAATAACATTATCAACATCAGATGGAACTGAATGAGAGATATCCCACTTCTTCCCTCAAATATTAATTTCGTAAAGCCATTGGCCTTTTTACTTGGAATAAATTCGGTTGCTAGTTTTGACTGCTAGTTTTTGCCGGCCTCTTCCATCATTTTCTGAACAAAAATCCTAACCATTACCTTTGCATATATCATAGCATTAAGGAAAAAGATTGGTGAAAAGAAAATTACTATAATTTTAATCAGATTTTGAAAAAAAAAGAATCAAAACGAGATTTCATGATTTATAATCTCTAAAATTCGCATTTATTTCTTGTAATTGAAGAAAAACTTTGGAGAAAGTAAAAAAAAAACTGCAAATTTGCGAAAAGAAGTTAGCTCCAGAACTACAGAAATATTAAACAAAAAACTAAATGAGTAAATTAAAATGCAGACGTAGTTCGGAAAGTTTTTAGCTGGAAAAGAGAGTGATAAAATTATACTTAGATTCACGGAGTAAAAGTTTCAACTGCAAAACAAAAGTAAAATTGGATCATCGAATTTATGGAATTAGCTTTTAGATAAGACATTTACAACTTAAACGTGTAATGTCATTTTATTTTTCTGTTCGCTTGTGACATAGTGAATTACAGATTGTGATTTTGTACTTGAAAATAAGTTGAGCAAATCGGAGTTACGAAGGGATGCAGTTGGAAAATCAGTAAATTTTGCTAAGTGGAAGAAGTCTCATACATAGGAGGAAATGTCACATGCCTTTTCTGCTAATACAAAAAGAGTTTGGTGCATAAAATGCAAAGAAATTCATTTGTACTTTGGTTTTTCAGAATAACTTTTGCTTCTAACTCCCCTTTGTCAATAATTTAAACGACTGGGAGAAAGGAGAAAGAGAATGAGTAGAAGGAGAGAGAGAGAGAGGGGAAATAGCAAATTTTAATAAAATCAATTCTAACATTTAATTCTCATACAAATGGCTGGCAGCAGATCGAAGTTCCAAGTTTAGCAGAGCAGAAAAACAAACTGCCTGACACATTCCGTGATCCATTACGGGTCCTCATTGGTAAACAGTACCTGTGGTCATTCATTTAGTTCATATGCACTGATTTCTCAGAGAGAGGTATGAATGAATGACTGATTGATCCCCTTAAGAATGAAAACACCTGAGATTGCCTTCTCTTTATCTTTCCTGAAGCTTTGCGGAAACCTGAATGGCAACTGAGGTTGAGGTCATGGTCCACTTTGCCGGGAAACAAAAGTAGCATATCGCTTGATTCGCAGTTTTCAAAAGTACTGAGCGTGAAAATGAGCACTGATTGATTTATTAACCGATCGAACATTAGGTATTTCATAAAGCACCATTCGAAGCTTCAAATCCAATTCCAGAACTGGATCTTCATTACTTCACCCTCCCCCTTGCTTTCCATACCCACATTTCCAGTCGGAAAAACTGATTCATTCCCTTTCATGTATTTTATCATAGATTTCCCAACTGAGCAGAAAAACACAGAAGACGAAAATGGATCCTCTCAGGCTAGCGGCCACTTCCAATTGCTGAGCGACTCGATGTCAGTAACTCTTCATAATCATCTAACCAATAAGTGAGCAATCTGCCGATTCCCTGTAATAATCGTAATTTTGTGTAATTTTCCACAGGAAAGTTTTAAGCAGACTCATTTCTGGTTATATTTATGTGTGAAATATTTTTCATTTCTGGTTATATTCATATAAGATTATATTCCTTCAACCCATTCATTTTTCATACTATCCTCCAATTCAGCTCCAGTTGTTTTATTGGAACGCTAACTCCCTCCACCAGACATCAAAGACAGAGATTCGGAAACTCTACTATCAGCAGTGCGATTCCCTTATTATTGCCTTTATTAAATGAATATGGAGAAAATATCTGGATATGAATTGAGAATAATATAAATTTAAGACTCTTCCAGCATATAACAAAAGTATCTCTTTTAAATTTCTTACACAAAAAAAAATGAAAATTATCGACTTTTTTGGGTATGAAACGGATCATTTGCAATTGGAAAAAGGTCTAAAACAGACATCAATTCGAATTCCTCCTCGCGGTGAGCATTTGAATTCTGGATATCGAGCTGTCAACAGCTGATAACTTTTCAGAGTGATCTGAATTTTATCCGGCAAACCACTATTTTCCATTTTTGCTGCCAGTGTCACCTAAAATAGTTTTCAAATACAAGAAAATTTGTGTCAAATTTACCAAACTTTTCTCCTTGCACTGGAGGTTATTTATGATAAAGAGAAGGTAAATCGAGATGTGTAAGCGAAAGAAAGGGAGACGGAAAGGTAAGCACCTCGAAAATGGATGGCAAAATTACCTGCAAATACCAGAGTATCATAAGTAAACAAACAGGCAAATAACTATCCGAGTTCATGTAAATGAGTGAGTGGTTCATAACTATTCATCATTTGAACGTTTTGTGGCTAATTAATAAAACTTAACCGGAATTTTTCGTCAGTAATCCGCTTGAGTATGTTAAAGTATTTCGACCAAACTTTCTATCTTACAGTTCTTGCTTTCATCTATGTATTTTTGAGTTCCGGATAAAGCAAAAAAATAAACCGTCTGGCCAAAAACACAATATCTCGGTGCATTCAAGCCAACAACCCCAGCGAATACAGGCCCCGTGTTGAAACCCCAGCGACAGTGCAGCTTTTGTCCTGGTCTATGCGGTACTTCATATTCGGATAGGAACTGGAAATTTTATTTTTTGCTTATTTCTTTTATATTTTATATTTAAATTTTATTTTATCTTTCTTAAAAATCAATGTTGTAATAACGACTGTTCCAAAAATCAAAGAAGTGAAAAGAGGCTTTTTTAAGAGGAATGGTCTTCCAACAATTCGTATTGTTTGTCCTAAAAACATGATATATCCTCGTTTGTTCAATTTCATCGCTGTTGATTTATTTCTTGTCGAAGGTCCTTTTGAACAGATAAACCAATACCATCTCCCCTCACTTTTCTCTCTCACTCTCCATATATATATTAAAAAGAAAACTTAAAATCTCAAAAGAGACAATTAAAACTTGCATCCCTCATCATAATTGCTACAAAAGCAATATCTCGAACATGGTTATGTCGACTAGTAATCGGTACCCCAGATGTTACCATATATGCATCGCCAATTGTTTCCACCTTAACGGAAAGTTATAGGCATGCAATGAAGGCACTGCTCAAGAAATAAATTATTGATCTTCGTGTTGCAGCTAAACAAATAAAAATCTCGACTTTTTCTGATCCACCTCCTGTGAATAATGCTTTTTGAGTGTATATCGAGCACTAATCAATAAAAATACCTTGTAACATTGGTGCTGTGAGATAATCATATCGAACTTTTGGAAAACACCACTCAACAGTGTAACCACTTCCATCGGCAAACTATCACTGCAAAGCGATGTGAAACCAACGACATCCGAATACATCACTGTTGCCGACTTGTAATTCTTTGGATCGACTCGACGACTTATTTTCAGCTCATTAGCTACGGACCTGAAATATTAATTGCATTACAAATCGCTAATCTTTGCCAAAATTTGAGGTAATACAAATCGCTAGTTTTTACCAAAATTTGAGTTATCCTAAATTTTTTCTTGACCAGACTGCACAGAAACTTACTGAATACTTCCCAGCAAAAAGATAGAGGCGGGTGGAGATGACCTAAATAACTTTAATGCTTTTTTTTTTACTTTAAGATTATTCAATCTTATAAATATGGTTTCATCCGAAAAGCTATGCTCCTTGTGACAACTGTCAATCTGTAATTATTGAGAGAGAGTTTTATACTAATATCTTACTTAGGTAACAACTCAAGAAGCAAACGTTCGGCATGCTCTTGTGCTTGTTCCAATTGTTGCGTCCGTTTTTTCACCAGCTTCTCCAAATTGTTCGTGTACTGTAGTATAAATTACTTCAAAACTTCCTACTTTCTATTCGCAGATTTTATCTCATGTTTTGGACTAAACTTTCTTGATTTTTATATACTAAGGGCCAGGCTGTTTGACAGTTAATATCTTTTCGAGCGTTGAATTACTGCTGAGGATTGAATTTATCTTTTATAACCACTTAATTTAAAATATTGCAAACCAAAGTCTAACCATAGTTCCCATATTTCCGCAGACTCTAACGGTTGCTTCAAAGAATTTTAAAGGTATCGTTTTTTAATGGTTTCTTTAAAGAAACCATTAAAAAACGTTTCATTGAAAGAGAATTGTACCTGTTCGAGATTTTTGATCATTTGATCGACCAAACTGCCCGATCTGAAGTTTCGGTAGAAATAGTTTGTTATATTATCACAGATATAATCGCTTTGTTTTTCCCGGAATAATGAGTATCTGGTAACCCCATGACATCCAGTAAATCGTAGTTAATATTTTGAAAAAACTTAGTTTACATTTTCAATGTAGCATCCGTAATTTTACGTGCCAGTGTTGCATCAGGGCGTTGATCAATGATTCCAGACCAGCATTTGTGCATTAGTCCAAGCAAATCCGGATGCACTTCGATGTTTCCCGGGATAGATGGATAAGGCGGAATCAGCGCTTCGGCTGACTCACAAAAAATGCTTAAAGTATCTTTATTCACTGTTTTGATATCTGAAATTCACGAATTAAATTTGTTCATCTGTAAATAATTCTATTCTATTTTTCTCAGGCCTTTATTCTGTTTTACACTTCATTATATTTAATGACTATACTATCCCATACTTACTGCAGAAAAAAAATTAAACAAATGAGTGACATTTAGACAATCACAAACACATACTATAATGATTATCATCGAGTATAATCGACTTCCTATGAAAGACAATTTCATACAATATAATTCCAAACGCATATATGTCAGCAGCCCTTGCTTGCTTGGTGTTGAATGTTACCGTACCCTCATTCATATTTTTGAGAAAGCGACGCATTTCTGGCGAATAATAATGTAAATCTGAATTTGAGATTTCAGTGAGAGTTGTTCCAAACGATGGCATTTATTTCGACAATCAGTTCTGGCAATGCAGTGTAATCCTAGGATTACAGCGATTTTGTTATTCCTCTGATGATGCAAAAAAAAAATGTTTAGATTCTGAACATTTCATGCATCTTCAGTGGATAACAATGCAAATCTGAATTTGCGATCTTAGCAGAAATCTGAAGCCTAAAAAAAACTAAAAATTTCTGCACAAATATGAATTGTTAACAAAATCATCAAAATATTAATTATTTTGTTGCAAGTATGTAAAAAATCGACAAAATTCCGGTCTTCCATTAAACTCAATTTCGAAATTCCAATCATTTCAACAGACCTGAATTTGGAATTAACCACATCTTGTTTTTGGCACTTATGGAGCCCTTTATACTCCATTTATAAAGTAATTTCGACAAACCAAATCCAGAGAGTTTCAGGATCCAGTGACTATCAATGAGGCATTGTGATGGAGTCAATGAACCATGATAACCAACCGTCGAGGCATGCAAAAACTCCAGGCCCTGAAAATCAATATCAGATGATATATACATACCTTATATACTGAACAAGATTTTTTGCATTTGAAGAAATTTGATTTTAGAAAGATCGACCAAAATTCGAGTTCTACAAAATCCTCTTCAAAATTACATTCGAAGATTATGAAGAAATCTTCGTACATTGTGATTAGCAACTAAGACATCCATCAGATTTAAAAGGCCATAATGAAAACAGACCCGAATAATATCACGAACAAAAGCTCGCTTAAAGTTTTGTTGAAATGCTGGACCAATTTTGTTATCATTGCTCAGCTTATCTGTCGGACCCGTGCTCGCATTAAAAAACACCATGTCAGCTAATGTCCCACGGAAACAATGATTCCAAATTGTATAGAATTCGGTTCGTTTGTCAAAGCATATCCCAATGAACTGATTGATATTATCGTGTACCAGCTGTTTCATCTACAACAAACATATATTTGCAAATT